AAATTAATATTTAACGTTATTTAATGATATTATATAAATTAAAAAAAAATCATATAATAACATGATAACGTAATATATTATACAATTTGATTGTAATTTTAATTTTATTCATAATAATATTCTACATAGTATTATTATATGCTTAAAAAACCACAGAAACTATAATTATTGTCGGTTTGATAGATTAATGGAATAATAAAAAATATTTTATATACAATATTATTTATTTTACAATACAATAACAATATTTAAATTAAAAACAATATACATATATATATATGTTATTTTATAACATCATTTAAAAAAAAATATTTTTAATCAAATACATTAAATTACTTTTTATTTAATCTTAATTTTAATTATAATTTTAACAAAATATATATAAATACAAAACCAATCTTAATCAAAAATATTTTTTATAAAATATTTTTAAAATTATAATTACAGAAGCCATTACAATACCACTATAAAAATACAAATTACAAGCAAGTTGTTAAGCCAGAAGTTGGATGTTTTATTTTCTTCTCGGAGAAGTTCCGTTACCTTTTTATTTATTTTTTTCTATCTCATTTTTTGCAATTAGCAATCACTGTTCTAACGTTGTTTCAACAAAAAAATATTTTTTCTGCAACTATGATGACGTCAAATCTATGAGCTAAAATAACCATAAATTTCTTTCAAAATTTCAGGTTTTAAAAGTATTTAAAAAAACTTAAATTTTTTTATTTAAAATTAATTTTTTTTTATATTTTTTTGATAATTTTAACGAGGTGATTAAAAATATTTTTTAAATAAAAAATTCTTGAAAAAATAACAGAAAAGACACTCCAAACATACTCTCCATGCCCGACATGTACAGGGACCAAAAACTTATTTTCCTCGAATCTCCTTGATTTAAACCTTCACAGTAGCATCAAGCATCTGTACCGGTAATTTGATAGGAGCACAGCACGGATCATCCTCGGCTTTTTCTGTACACTCTACGCTCGAGGATTTCTCAATCTTGGACTTCGCATCTTTAAGCGACTTGACGTCGTGTTTCGTGTTAAAGGTATCAAGAAAATGACCTCAACTAATTTCTTCCAAAAAATCAAGATTATAAAATAAAATATTAATTGTATTTAGCGAGAAACAATTTTGATGGATTCGTTTCCCCTAAAATGCATCAACTAGAATTGTTTCAGTGTATTTAACACCACGGGCCTCGATCCAACATCGGCGTATTCATGGGCCTAGCGAGCAAAAGAGCTTGATAAAGTGATGTAGGCCCATACAATAGTACGGTAATATCACGGACAAAATGGAAAAAACAAAAACGCGAGTACAGAAAAATCACGGACAAAATGGAAAAAACAAAAACGAGCGGGGGTACGTATGGAAATGAAAAAAAGATAAAACTAGGGTTTAGAAGCATTTCACCCGAACACACATCTACTGCCGCCGTCCAGTGCTGCTGCTCTCTGAGGCGTCTTCAGGAGAAGTAAGAGGAAGCGGACGATAAAACGCAAAAATGGTAAATCTGTTGTGATCTCGTTTTGCTTACTGTCTGTTTCTTCGCATATAATAAGAACTGCCTGGAAAACTGTCCCTGTCCATCGTTACAGATGTGTGTAGACTATTGCTGTTTTCAGTAGCCTCAATGGTGACATCCCCTCCATCCGGGCTCTATATGTATTCCTTTCTTCTTACAAGCAGATTAGAAGTGCAATACTAATGTTTTTGCTTTGCTGTTGCTTGTAATACGATGTTGTTTGGTTTTGTGGTGATTATGTTGTATCAGCTAGACATTGGAAAATAAATAAAAAATTAGAGTTTAATCCATATGTCAGGGACTCTAGTTTTGATGGTTAACTAAGGAAATAAGTTTCAAATCTCGCTGACTTAAATGGATGTAACCATCCTTCTCAATTGTGGCAATTGATGGAGAATGGAATCGACTGTGTTCCTATTCTAGCAACTGTGTTCTAGGATGCCTTGCAGCGCCCGGGTGTTTTTTGGTCCAGCTAGAGATTCCTTGTTGTTAGCGCAGTGTTATAAAAGCTGGGGTTTTTTTAGTTATTTACACAGCCAGATAGATGCATTTAACCTTGATGTTTCTGTTTTTTTTTTAGTGATGAATTTTTGAAATTATAAGCAACTTAATTGATAACAAGTTGCACAAGCTGATTGCTAGACGTGCTGTTATAGTGGAAATTGGGTGGCAATCCGATTTGATGTGGAATAAGTTTTGGAAAAATTGATTCGTGTGGAGCTATCTATCTTATTTCCAGCTCTCTTGTGGGGAAAATGCTTTTCTTGTTTCTTTTATAACTGTTGATTTGGTACATTTGGTTTGTTTATTTTCCCATGCTTGAAATTGGTGTGCTCCCTGAATTTTATGAACGTTCTAATAGTATCTAGTCTTCCTTTGTTATTAACAGCCAAAGCAGATACATGAAATCAAGGATTTTCTTCTCACAGCAAGAAGGAAGGATGCTCGTTCTGTTAAAATCAAGAGGAGAAGAGATGTGGTGAAGTTCAAGGTTCGATGCTCCAAGTATCTTTACACACTGTGCGTGTTTGATCCTGAGAAGGCTGACAAGTTGAAGCAATCTCTTCCTCCAGGTATAGGGACATTCTGTCTTTAATTGCTGTTTATATGCTGTGTTATTTTAGAATTACTCCACTTTGTTTTGATTGTAGTCTATCGCT